CAACCAAACTATTTATTGGGGGGGGGGGGGGGGGGGACTTTGTCCCAGATTTGACGAGGGAGTTTGTGATGGTGGTGGATAGCATGACTTAGGTATCTTACAATTAAAGTCAGTCAAATGCAGATGAATAGGTAAGTACCTAGGTAGGTACATAGGTATTTTTTAATAACGTACCAGACAGCTGACAACAATATGGTCGACTACGTGATGCAGCCAGATGGAGATATGTTTTCCTCATCAAGTTCAAAATTTACCCGCCACTTTTTCAAAATGGCGGAAGTAACAACTTGCTTGTTCTGTTATATAGGTATACTCTCAGGGAAATTAATACTAGTACCTATATCTACGTCCTAATCTTTTTTACTTTTGTGCAAGGCTGTGCTTAAAAGTACTAAAAGGTAGGAAAGTTTGAAACTATTCACATGAAAATAACAAAGCGAGAGCATAATCCCATAGTGAGCATAGCATTGTTTATAGTGATGTTTAACACCCCCAATTGGAGGAAACTACCTAAAAGACGACAATCAAGAAGGTGAACAACAGTACCATATGATAATTTAAAACCTCCCAATATACTTGCGTGGCCGACTACTCAGAATAAAAAGAGGGAAGTGTATTGTAGTTTGAGGAATTACTTACATAAGTAGTCCGTCCATGATTAGTGCAGTGACTATAACACTTTTTCAAAATGTATGAGAAGAGTGTGTTTAGAAGTACCTATGTATTGCTTAAAATATTTCATTCGGCGCAAAGGTAAAACTTAAAGCATCATCAGCTTTGGTAAAGTTAAATCTAAAATATCGCAGTGTTGTCGCCTACCTAATGGAACCTTAGTCATTAAATTCGTTTATAAGTAATTCATATATCGCAATATCCGAATAGGAGGACTTTCTCCAGCCACAATGATGACAATGTGGCTTGTGCGTTCAACATCATGAATAGTGGATGTTTACGCGTTCACCGTCTGATCTATCAGCTAATGTCTCTATCACCATAAACATGTCAACTATAAGAAGTTAATAATGTATTTCGCACGTTTATCTTCTTTGGCGTGTTTATTAGCACCATTCACGGTTGCTACTAAGGCCGGTAATGTTGACTATCAACATGTGAAGCAAGTCGCGATCATAGGTAAGTTGAAATTAGGCAGTCATCTCACAGTCTAGCATACAATACATACAATAAGGAGCCCCAACATCAGCATTGGAGCTACCAAAAATCACCTACAATGGTTTAACCTAAATCGATCATTGATATTATTCCCGGGACACTATTTATGAAACGGTTAATTTCATACTGCTTCCTTGTTACTGACACACTCGCTAGGTGCTGGCGCTGCCGGCTCCTCCGCGGCTTACCACTTGCATAAATATGCTCAGCAGGAAGGCATCGACGTCAATATCACCATCTTTGAGAAAACCAACCACATCGGTGGCCGTACTCTCACAGTAGATGTCTACGATGACCCTCTTAGTCCAGTTGAGCTGGGCGCCTCTATATTTGTCGAGGTGAATCACATCCTCTACAACGCTACCAGGGACTTCAACCTACTTGTTACCGAGCCGGGAACTGATGAGAAGGGGCTACTTGGTATTTGGGATGGCAAGCGCTTCGTCTACACGCAAGACTCGGAGTCCTGGGGATGGTGGAACCTTGTCAAGCTCTTCTGGAAGTACGGAACCGCCCCGTACTACACTCATCGGCTCGTTCAAGAAACCGTAGGATCCTTTTTGAAGCTTTACCAGTCCCCCTACTTCCCCTTCAGATCTCTCTCGGCGAGCGCGTATGAGCTTGGTCTTGTGCAGATAACGGGCTTGACTGGGAAGCAATTTCTAGCTGAAAACAAGCTTGATGGGCCGTTTGCTCATGATATCGTGCAAGCAAGTACCCGTGTGAACTATGCCTCGAATCTACAGTATATACACGGCCTTGGCACTATGGTCGGTTCTTACAACAACTATAAGTGGACTAGACGGGACTAATATTCGATTTTAGGTTGCGATGGCCCCTGAAGGAGCAGTAGCTGTAGCCGGCGGCAATTGGCAGATATTCTCTAATATGGTGGCGGACTCTAAAGCTCACATCTCCCTGAATTCAAGTGTGACTGCCATCACCAAGGAAAAGAGCAGTGCTTCTGGCTCGGTGCCACCGAAATACAGAATACAGACTGCAACAACTGGTGCTACTAATGATGAGGCAGAAACATACCCAGTTGCCTTCGATGATGTTGTCATCGCAACCCCGTACCAATTCAGCGGAATTAGTCACGATGATAATGTCATGCCCCACCCCGTGGACTCGATCCCGTATGTCGAGCTGCATGTGACGCTTTTCGCATCTCCTTACAAGTTCAGCGCAGAGTTCTTCAACCTCGAGCCTGCTTCCACAGTGCCTATCTCCGTGCTCACAACGTTAGGCGAAGATGACGAAGCCAAGCCTGGACCGGAAGGAGCTGGCAGCGCTGGTTTCTTCTCCGCGACTTTGGTAAAGGTGGTGACAAACCCGAAGACACACAATGCCGAGTATGTGTATAAGATCTTCTCGCCTCATAAAGTGACACCCGAATTCTTGTCCCGATTGTTAGGCGTTCAGGTGCCAGATACGTTCACTCGACCTGTTGGCGACGAGGAAAAGGACACCAGGGAGGGCGCAACGACTGTTCTCGACCCCATCTCGTGGTACCATCCCACCATCTTCCACCCTTATCCCCAGAAGTACCCCCGCGTTACGTTCCAGGACCCCATTCTAGGGGACGGGCTGTACTACACGTCAGGCATCGAGAGCTTTATCTCGACCATGGAGACGAGCGCGCTAATGGGTATGAATGTCGCGCGACTTATTGCTGATGACTACCTGAGTAAACTACGCGTTGTAGACGGCGAGGGAGAGCACTCCCAGAAAGTCTTGTCTGAGTGGCAGAATGAAACTGCGGTAGGACACGATCTACCCGTCGAGGACACGGAGGAGCTTTAGGGAATACCTCTTTCGAGTATCATATTATAGCAAATTGACTAATGAAATTTCTGTTGTAACTTGTCTATCCGCCTACACAGTCGAGAGTCCGATATCTTCTTCCCTCTCACCCCTCGCGTGAAGTCTATTCCAAATCCGCCGGAAGAAGGGTTGCTCAATCGGTTTGTTTGATTGTTGAGAAGAACTGCCATTAGAATTACCGTTTGTATGACCGTTAGGATGGCCATTTTCTTGTCCGCTCTCAGGTAGTGAACCATTCGAACTGTTCCCATTCTCAGCACCTCCCTGCTTGGCTTTAGCACGATTCTCTTTTTGCCGGCGTTTTTCAAATCTTTTTGTTAGGTGAGCTTCCCTAGCCTTGTTTTTGACGCGATTAGCGAAGACGTTCGCCTCATGGTGAAATTCCTTGCTCGACCAGCTGGCATCGCGCCAGTGGTTATATACGCCGGAATCCACTATAACAGTGATTATCAACCTCTTCCATATGTAAAATAAGCTAGCGCGAATCCATCCGCCGAAAGCAAGGAGCAAACTTAGGATAATGACCGCAGCTGAGATAGTGACTTAATGGTTTTGATAATATGTCAGTTTGGATATATACTTGCAGCAGGAATGTCGTCTTACACATGTACAAGAACTCCCGGTGTATGGACCAAGTTTCACTAGTGATTTCCATATTATTCATACCAAAGACGCTAGACATGAATGACAGGGGAAGCTGAAGATCCAAGGCTATTAGTACCTATGAAAGCTCACGGGGCCAGTTCAACTTACAAAAATGATGGTCACGAGTGTAAACATCATGATCGATTGGCTTTGCTTAATGGTCTCGTTTGATTGTCTGACAGCTTGCCACGCCTGGACGACACTGGCCTGTTGTTGTTTCAATTCCAATAAGTCCTTGACCTAGAGTTTAAATAAGCTTCGATTGGCTTCATGTGGAATGTTCATTGTGTAGAGGAGCATGCTAGGGGTTCGATTCTTACACTATCGGCTGTACGACCAGCTATTTTTCGTAGCTCTTCAAGTTCATCGATCCGTCCCTTGATAGTTTCCAGGAGCTCATCAGCATTGAGCTTAAACCAGTTGTAATCGTCTCGCCTTTTCTCAAATGCTGATTTCACATCCCCAGCTGGAGTTTCTCTTTCTTTTTCATACTCGGCGAGACTTTCGGCAATCCTTTTCGTTTCCCCCCTTAAAGTATTGCTTATCATTTCCCGCTTCTTATTTTCGCCAAATTTTCCAAAGGGATCGAGCAAGTTTTCGGCATTGGAAGTAAATGCTGAAAGCATTTTCTCGTGGACCTTTGTTATGTGTATCATAATATCCAACTCTTCCACTATGTCCTTAATCTCCCGCTCAAGCTGCCCTTCAGGATGAATATCAAGAAGCGTCACGTGAAGCTCTGAAGCGTCCCCATTCCCGTTGGATTTGTAGATATCACTAGCGTTATCAGCCCAGCGCCAAAGCCTTTCAAAAGCTACGGTTTGCTTATGCATCTGTTTGTGTTTGTTAGAACTGGCGCAGTTCACATTTTGGCTTCAGCACTCACAATATTCCCAATAGCTTTCGAGAAGGTATCAATGACTTGTGGCTGCCGACTTGTCGTTCTTGTTCGATTGAATAATGTATTGACGCATTCATCAATAATAATTAAGCCAAGATCAAAAGCGGTACGAATCTGGTCGTGACCAATCTCCTGGATGCGTACTCTTATCGACTTGTGAACGGCCGAACTATCTTGCTTGTTCGAACCGTATCGTTTCGGAAAGCAGGTAATAATCGTCTTTGCATCCAGAACCCACATCCACAACTGGTCCACCATGACAACACAGGATAGCTTTTGGATATTCCTTTTGCATTCCTTACATTTCCCCTTGATGTCGAAATCCTCGTGTTCTTGCCATGTATTCTTGCCCGGATCATATTTATGGAATTTTTCAGGTTCTGTAGTCGTGTGTCTGTATACAACTTGATCTCTGTCCCTTTCCCATGTCGAGTTGAGTGTCCAGTGGTAGGCTTGATCGAGAGTACGCCGAGGATGAAGAGGGGGGTCTTTAGAAATATATTCACGGAGCAGTTTCTTATCCCGATAGTTTGACATCCCTTCATATAGTCTGGCAGCGTCAAGGAGGAACTGACCTAAAGGATTCTTGATCAGAAACCGACCATTGTCATCTACTTCACGTAGACTCTTAATTTCATTTCGTTCTCTCATCAACTTTAAGAGTCTGCTCATAGTTGCTACCTTTATCCTAGACCTTTGTTGTCTTGTCGGTGTCGGTTGCATTTCTGAAGCGTTTAGACTTTCATCTCTCTTAAGATCTTCTTCTGCAATACTATCCTCAATTTCCATTGCGAACTGCTCATTCTTTCTTGATGTATCCCAGTGGAGGTATGGCATCTATGTTTGATTTCTCTTAGTTGGAGAATTCTCATGTTATGAAGGAGGAGAAGCTCACGAAAAGGACCATATTCCTGTGAAAGTACTTAATATTTTCTGGGTCTATAATACCATGAGCACATGTCCGATCAGGATCAGATAGGAATGACCTGGTTACCAGACGATATCGTTGCACACATCGGCTTCATGTGCCTTGCATGTGCCGGGCTGTGAGGCTGACTACCATGCAGCTGTCCTCGCCAATATTGGTCCCGAAGAATCATGTAAGCTTTTGTCTTTTTCTCTCGCTTCAGCTCGCGATGTGTAGCGTGGTAGTGAGGTCTTTCTTCCCCGAAGTATCGTCCAATAGCGCGCTAATAGTTGTTGGTTGATATATATATATACTATATGGGCGAAACACTTACTTCGATCCACTAGATTCGGATGAAATTAGCAAGGGACTCAGCTTATAATATTCTAGGTTAAAGCTTAACTTACATCCATATTATTCGACGGAATATGGAAATATCTTATTAAGCGGTCTGGTGAAGAGTCGTTATGACGTAACAAATTATCCTCGTCATTTAACAAACTGCTAAGCGTTGTCTTCTGGTTCGGAAATTTGTTCCACACTCCACGACCCTCTACTTCGTAAGGCTTTCCATCATTGAATTGAATAATTGGTACGGTGATGTCCTTCTCCAAATCATAATCCTCATCCCTGCTTTCTTCACTTGGTGTCGATGAGCTTCCTTTACCCTTATCCCTTCGTTTCTGCCGAACAGATTCAATATTTTTCTCATACTCTGAGCACTTACGCCACGCATCCAAGCTTTCCTCCACTCTGTCTACCAAGTGTTTATCCTTGCTATCTTTCGATAATTGCTTGCGGAGAAAGCCGATACGCTTTAATTCGTTTTTACAATCGGCTTCCCAGGATATTCTTTTTTGTTCGGTAAGTTCCTTTGCCTTCTCAAAACTGTGATGTAGAACTTCTTGTTGATGCTTAGCCTCCTGTTCCCAGATACGAAATCCAGGAGTGAAGAACTCTGCTTGATCACAGAATTCAATGCATCCTATATAATGAAGCAGATGATCTTTAATGTCGCATCCGTGTTCATCAGAGCTCAGGCAGGTAGCCCCGGAAATAGTACTTTCGTCCATATTGGGAGGAGACATAGTCTCCAAATAAAGAAGCTTGGTAATGGGTTGGATACCTAGATCCTAGGAATGGAAAAGAGATAGGTGGTGAGGAAAAGCGACTCTTATACAGAACTAAGTCATCACAGGGGCTAAAACTACGATCTGGATATGATATCATAATCAGCAACTACCTACCTAGGCACTTCCATTGGGGACTCATTTCAGCTACGGGAAAGTAGTCAGTGCTCCGCTTACATTAATAATAGCTTCGGCGATGTGCATTGCAGCCTCGCCTCTATATCGGCGAATCACCGATGCCCTTTGTCCAACGAAAACAGTAGTATGAGAAGCGGTGTAATTATTACGTATGATCTCCAACGTACATGAAGAATTTCGGGCAGCGGCATGAACGAATACCGCATTTTTGCACTTTGCGCTGATACGCATCGGAGTCTCCTAGAGGACTTAAATGAGCAGCCAATAAGCTGTTAGCTATAGATACACTAAACGAAGCAAAGCAACGAGGAACGGGCGTATGTGGGGGCTATTTTCCCAGTATTAGGCAATAGGCCGTGCTAATCGATGCGGCTGAAGGTGGTCATGGAAGTTGGAGGCTCTATCGGGATATGAATCGGCGAATGGACTCGTATAAGATATCTATATGCAGGTAAGTGCTTAGCTGGACCACCCCTGTCCGAGGAACACCTCCTAGCGGGCATACAGCCGGCTGAACTCCCCAGCCTGCCTTAGGGTGGAGGGTATATTTGGCAATAATGTGCTGCGTTATCATCAGCTGAAATCCCTTTTCGACCCCTGAAATGGCTATGCCCATTCGACAGTCCTACTGTTGTTGGCTGTCTTCAATTGACTTTGGGATCAAGTTTTCTAAAAACTGTTAATATCAAGGACATGTGTTTCAAGAGAAACTCACTGGTTTTTCATCGGGGTTCCGTTATGTACCTGGGTAGGTAGTGTTTATTACGTGAAACCCATTCACGAAAGTTGAGGCTGTTAACTTTTACTATTTTCATCAACGCCTAATCAAATTCTCGACTTTGGTGTCATTTATACATCACATATTATATACATGAGCTTGCTGAGAATACATGGTAGCCTGGTTTTTAAACCCTCGAGTCAAATCAATCGTATCGTTATCCACTTTATATAGGGAGAAAAGGGGCGTTTTAGGGAGACAATTCCTTACCACCCTTATCCCTTCTTTTCTCTTCATCAAATAATCATAATGCGTGGTATATAACCGTTGCGTTCCTATATGTTGATTTGCTACGACATGAAATAGAGTAATTATTGACGCGAAATATTCTTGCCCCTGTCTGAAATAGACTTCTCACTGCGTGTCTACGAGGCGGTTGGATTATTGACTAGTAAAGGCTTAGTCGTCAGCTCAAGTGATGAAGACCCCTTTGCCCGATGCATATCATCCAATTGATACCCGGTTTCTATCGCAGCTCGCGTCATATTTGATCTTGATATATAGTCTGTATGGTGGATTTCATGGGAAGCATTCCATGAGCTTCCCGGTGATGGTAGGGACTTCGGCTGTTTTGTTCGCCATCTCCTGGGTACGAACCTCTCGTACATAATACCCCTGAATGTTCGAGTAAGGCCAAATACTATCCATATTGCCAATCCAGGTGTCACGCCATATATGTATCCGATAATTCTCATAGTTCGCTTTGATATAATAAAGCTGAGCCCACATGAGATCATCCAATAGGCTAGGGAGATGAGTTACTATATTTACGTGGTAATTATCGGTCTTGATGAAAAACTTACGCGTAATTGTATATCTGCTGCACGATGCTACTCATGGTGCATAATAGGGAAAAGTACGCGATTAAGGCTACATCTATAGGGATCCTGGTTAGAATGCACCCGGCTTTTAGAACGTTGGTGGGATCATTCGGGCTCACAGCTTAGCCTCTCGTGACTGATCCAGTAAAGCCATATGAGGAGAATATTGGTAAAGAGGCAAATAAACGTGAACAACAGCACGCCTACAGCATCCCCAATAGTTCCTGCTGGCAATTGAGGCATCCTGGATCGTCTCTTAGCCTGCTGCGCTCGATAGTAAAATAGGGCTAATAGAGGTGAAATAGAAGAACCAACATCTAATGCCGTATTCTTAAGCCGGAGCCTTACGGATCGGTGGTACGATGATTGATTTGTTTCGCGTACAATCGGCAGGGCTTTTCTTGGCGATTCCAATATGCGCCGTAATCACCGTAGCAAACGCTTATAGCTGTTTGATAGGCCTGTAATTAAACAGCTAACAAGCATTTTGCATGCAGCTAAAGAGCACACACTTCATCTAACATCGAGATTAGAGGATAGAAGATAGAAGATAGAAGATAGAAGATAGAAGATAGAGGATAGAGGATAATATTCCGATAAAGAATCTAGTTCTTATTCACACCTTCCTCTAATAATATCGCTCGCGGCAAGGCCTCGTGTTCAATCCCGTCGACACACACTTATGAATGCGGATACAGAACGCCGCGTTCTAGTTCTAATGCACTCTGTAAAATTGATTTAATTTTTAATTTATTAGAATCATGGGATTCAGACATGTTATCTCTTAGATAGATTATGCGTTATACTATCCCCATGATGAATCGGCGTGGGAGATGTATCAAAACGCCGTCCGCGGGCGCCGAGCGGTGTCCGTCGGAGAGACGCGTTGAAATGAGTTGCTACCTTGTAAAGGGGTACATTATCACAATCTAATTGCTCCCATTTGGAGCAAATAAAACGGCGACGAAGGATGTGTCGTTTGATACTATCTCGGCGCGTTATTACACCTTTGAATTCGCGATCATCGTTGGAGTCGATCAATTTAACGGACACGGTCACTGTCGCGAAACCCAGCAATCATAATAATCATGGACAGTCATATTAGTCCAACGCAAAATAGTACATCGCGCCGACGCAGGCAGGGCGACACTTGCATTGGAAATGGGACACCAAAGCTTTCCCTAAGAGCTCGGAATGGCCATACGAGCTGGCCGACAGAGAAGAAGTATCATAAACACAGAAAGTCTCGGTCTCTCCTGCGTCGGTCATGGACTTTACCGCTGATGCTCACGTTAGCGACCCTTTTTCTCTGCGCTCCCAATCCGACGAGCTCTAACGTTATCCATCACTTTCTCTTTCTATCTTACAAGGTAGATGGTGTTGACAGCTCTCCACAGTACGGTAAAGGTCCGTGGGACTTTGCATTCGTGGGCTTCTATACCATACTCCTGTCCTTCGCCCGCGAATTCGTCATGTACGAGGTGCTACGCCCACTAGCTCGAAGTTTCGGCATCAAATCGCGAGCCAAGCAGTTGCGATTTATGGAACAGATGTATATCGCCTTCTATATCGCCTTCATGGGGCCGTTCGGCATGTACTGCATGAAGCAGACTCCAGTGTGGTATTTCAACACGAGAGGCATGTACGAAGGCTTCCCGCATAAAACCCATAACGCGAATATTAAGTTTTATTACTTATTTCAGGCCGCTTTCTGGGTGCAGCAGTCTGTAGTCATGCTGCTCGGATTCGAACAGAGACGCAAGGACTTTAAGGAGCTCGTCGGTCACCATATTGTGACCATAGCCCTTATCGGTCTCAGCTACAGGTTTCACTTCACGTATATGGGCATTGCAGTCTACGTCACACACGATATTAGCGACTTTTTCCTAGCTGTGAGTTAATCAAGTCACTATGGCTTTCTTCCGCATCCTCTGCAGGGCTATCGAGAAGATTTTAAGCTAACTCATATGACCTTATAGATATCTAAGTCGTTGAACTATATCAATAGCCCATATCAAGGACACTCGTTCGGCCTATGTATAATTATATGGACTTATTTACGGCATTACATCAACCTCCGCATCATATACTCCCTCTTTAACGAATCCAGCACAATCGGACCTTACGAACTCGACTGGGAAACAGAGCAGTACAAATCTCCGCTGTCAAATACCATCACGTTTGCTCTGCTAGCATCGCTTCAGGTCCTGAACCTATTCTGGCTATACTGCCTTCTACGTAACGCCTACAGGTTCGTCTTCTTGGGAATTGCGAAGGACGATCGGTCGGAAGATGAGGTGCCGGAAACTGACATCGTGGGACGCGAGAAGGACAATATAGCTGATACTTTGGCGAGTCAGGGGGAAAATCTTCCTCCCCTAAACGGCAACTCGGTATCTACATAGACGTTGGGGAATTCCAACACAAAGTGTAAAGGTTGGATATCGATCCAGATATAATTGTTAGGATGTAAAACTGCATTATTATGGGCTGGTTACAGATGAGTGCACTTTCCACTAGACTTACATTCTCCTGGCCTATTGGGTAACTAGAAGGTCCCAAAATATATATATTCTTAATAATGCGGAAGTAATGTCTTAACCGCATGAGTTCCGGATCATCGTACACAGCCACCTCCACGTGTCTCGATACCCAAGTCTGCCCGCGCTGAAGCATATGCTGGAGTATACCTCTACTAATCAAAGACCAGCTGTGCCGCACAAGGTGCCCACGACAGCCACCTCATATACCCGGCATATTTGACTTAACGTCTTCGCTAGTACTTAAATATGCCTTCTATCCCGACCGGAGACCGTGCTACTCATACAACTGCCAGGTCCTCGGCTTAAACAGTCGAGAGACACGTTCGAGGCCTACTCTCTTGAAGAAGGCACATGGGAGACTCTAACCCCGATTCCGGAGGCTTTCGCCCATATCAATGCCGCCGCTGTTAACGATAAAATCTACTTGCTCGGAGGTCTCATGGGAAATGGATCGGATATGGTGTGGCGGTCTTCACGCGACTGTTTCATCTACGACATTGTTGAACGCACATGGACGGCTCTACCCCCTATGCCGGAGGGGCAGGGCCGTGGAGCTTCAGCTATAGGAATATCCGGATATATCGTGTACTTGGCTGGAGGGTTGGACCGGCTCGAAATCGGTGGCGATCAACTTACTCTTGATATTGTGACCGCATATGACACCGAAAAGGGAACATGGACAACGCTACCAAGTATTCCTGCACCGAGAGATCACGTCGGGGGAGCAGTCATAGGCCAGAAGTTCTACGTTGTTGGCGGTCGCGATCACGGGCAAGTGAACGTGCGTAACACAACCTGGTCTCTCGATCTCAACGCGCCATCAAAGGGATGGGTAGCCCATGCCGAAATGCCTACCGCCCGCGGTGGACTTGCGGTTGGCGTCATCGGCGATTACATTGCAACTTTCGGGGGCGAAGGCAACCCAGCACCCGGGTCGAACGGCGTATACAACGAAACGGAAGTTTACAGTGTGAAGGACGACGTATGGTTCAAGCAGCCGGCTATGCGACACCCGAGGCATGGTACGGCGGCCGCCTCGGTAAACGGTCGCATCTACATCCCAGGCGGTGGTATTGTCATGGGCTCGGGACCAGTGGATACGTTTGATTCATTCTAACTGAGTCCTTGATGCCCTGTTGAGGTTATAGGAAGAATCGGGGGGATTTATTCGGCGCGGAATATATTTAAATAAGAGTCGAGGTTACTACATCTTATCCAATCCCAGTGAGAAATGTTATGTATTTAATACGGATGCTATGTATAATTCTGAGTTGTATCAAGCAGAAAGGCTCTATAAATGAACCGTAAATATTCTCTAGAACTAAGAGAACTCGTTGGTTTTAGAAATGGCAAGATATTACTCAAAACCGCACGTTCTCAGGAGAGGGGTCAGTCAGTCATACTTTAGATTGTTACTTGCTCTTAAAGTATTGTTTAAAAATGGCTATTCTAATTTATTTTTGGTAGAAGAGTAGAATATTAAAATCGAAGTGTTCACAGTTAACATTAGGTAGTGGGTCGTGCTCATTAAGAGAATTATCTTTTACTTATAATTAACGATCTTAAAGCCTAGAACAGCCCTGCCAGTAATGAGGCTACGGTTGACCAGACATTATTTCAGTAAACTCAGACCACAAATTCGATATCGTTCGTAGGGTTGTACCTCCCCTAGCCACACCATTTTTCAACCAATTAAAACCCGGAACAACCCCTTAAAACAACATCGAATCTGTGGTCTAAGGCAGCTCTGGGACCCCGCACACCAAAAACATACGTCTAATATTTTAAAATAATAATATTGACAATAATATTGATAAAATTATTAAAATAATAATATTAATGCGTTTTTATAGTAAGTAATAATTAATTATATAATAGTTATTAATTTTATTATTAAATTTATTAATTAAATTTACACGTTTTAAATTTTTTAAAATGTTAAAAATGGTTATAATAACGGTTGTAACGCGTTAATTACAATATTAATTATAACGGTAATTGTAATAAACGTTAAAACTTAATATATAAAACCGTATAAATATGTAAAAAAGGTTAAAAAGATTAAAAAATAATATTATTAACTTTACGTTATTAAAAAAAAAAGGATTTTATATATAATTATAAAATATTAAATTATTATATTTAAATATTTTATATAAAATTTAATATAATTAAAACGTTAAAAATTTTTAAACGTTAAAACTTAATATATAAAAACGCAATATTGTATAAATATATAAAAAAAATAAAAAAATAAATTAAATATATTATTAACTTTAAGTTATTAAAATTAAAATTATTTTATACGTTATTATAATATATTAAATTATTATAAATATAATGTTTGATTTTTTTATTATTAATAAAACTGTTAAAAACTTTTATAACGTTATATAATTTTAAATTAAAAATTTTCGAATGTTTTATTTATAATTTATAAATATAAATATACAGACCACGCGTTACGTGGCGTAAACAGGCGTAACCCGTTTCGAAAATTTCGGGTTTAAAGTTATTTAAAATAAACTAAATAAACCATTATATTAAAATAAAAAAAATAATCGCATATTAAATTAAAGTTAATAAAAAATCATTTATTATAATTAAAAAAATATTAAATATATATTTTTAAACTTTAATACAATTTATTATAATAAAAATATTTATTTAATTAATATAATATAAAAAATTAATTAATTAAATTAAAAAATTTAATTATTAATTTAATTATTAATTATTATATTTATACATTTAAATAATTTTATAATTTTAATTATTATAACATTATAATTAATATCATTTTATAATTTTAATTAAAACGAAAATAATTATTTAAATTATATATTTATATAATATATTGTTATTAAAATATTTAAAATTTTAAAAAATATTACGTATACGTATAAATTTTTAAAATAATAAATTAATAAATATTATTATTATATAAACTTATATAAACTATTAGATAAATTATTATATTTATTTTATTTATATGTTAATTATATTATTAAAATAATTTATAAAAGAAATCTTTTTTTTTTTTTCATAATTTATTAAATTTTATATTAAATAAGATTTTATAATTAATAGTTTCATTTTAATAAGCAGTTTTTAAGCTATTAATGTAATATTTTATATTTAATAAAAAATATTATATTATTTTTTTATTTCTTTTTTTATTATTTTTTAAGTTTGCTTATTACAACGGTTAAAATATAAAAAATTATTATAAACCTACTTTTTTAAAAATTATATTATTGGTATTAAAACTTTTATATAATATTTTAATATTATTGGAAATATATTATAATAATTTTATTAAATAATTAAAAAATAATAAAATATAATATAATTATTTATTAAATAATATTTTTAAATTTTTTAATAATTTTAAATCTTATAATTTACATTTATATAATTATTATTATATTTATATAATTGTTAACTATTTTCGATTAAATTTTCGATCGAAGTTAAAATTAATTTATTTTTATATTATTTTTATTTTTTTTATACAGTTTTTTTATTTTAATTAAATTAACCTTTAAATTATTTTTTTAATTAAATTAAGAAAATATATTATATTTTTTTAAGGATTTTAAATATTTTTTATAAAAACTTTATTTTAATTACTTTATACTTTAATTAAAAAATAAGTAAAAATATAAATAACGTTTTTAAAATAATAGCTTTTTTAAAAGAAAATTTATTTCTTTTAACAATACGAAAATTACCATAAAATAATATATAGTAAATTTTTTTATACGTAAAAAATTTTTAATATTTTAAATAATAACGTTTTTAACAATTTTTATAAAGTTATTAAATATAAAACTTTACCAAATTTTTAGAAAATTATAATCTTAAATAAGTTGTTAATTTATATAAATTTTGTAAGATATTTGACTTTATATAAGATTATATATTAAGCATAATATTAACACTAGTAAATAAACCAATCATATCATTAACCAAAACACCATTATTATTACCAAAAGTTTTAATATTATTAACAATACCATCATTATTAACAAAAATCCTATAATTAACATTAAAAATCTTATCGTCATTGCCAAAAATCTTATTATTAATGCCAAAGATTTTAATATAATTAATTAAAATTATATTTTTATTAAGAATAATTTTGTTATCATTTATAAAAATATTTTAACCTTTATAAAATTTAGTTAATTTATAAATATAACTTTAAATTATTAAACTAATACCAATAAAATTATAAACAATTTTACTTAATTTTAAATATTAATTAAAAAATAACCTTTGGTTACAAAAACCTTTAAAATTGTATATACCAATATAATAATTACCGATTTTAACGTAAATATTATTTTAAATAATAATATTATTAATTAAATTTATATCCGTAAAAATCTTCCAAAATAATAACAAAAAAAACATTAAACCAATTATTAAACTTTTATTAATAACAATAATATCCCTTATATTATCGGTTATTGACCCCGTTATAATATTGGCTAATAATTTAATATTGTTTATAATATATACATACGATACAATTATACCGGACAAAAATCTTACCTCGTTTAATAACGTTAATAAATAACTTTATATATTATAAATATTATAACCTATAAACCAATCAATATTAATAAATATATTACTAAAATTAATTAAATAAATATAAATTTAAAAACGATAATTATTATAAGATTTATAAAATAAGATTTTATTAAAACCTTTAGTTTTATTAAAAATTAAAACATAATAATTATATTAAATATATTATTAAAAAGTATTTAATTAAAAAATTATAATATTTAATAAAAATTAACTTTTTTAACTATTATTATAATTAAATTAATTAAATTAAATTAATTTATTAATTTTATTATATTATAATTTATTAACCATATTATTATCTTTATTTATATACAATATAATAGGAAATATAAGACTAAACAGTAATAATAACGGAAATTAAAGCCAATTACTTACTTTATTAACATTATTAAACGTTAATAAAAAAAAATGATAACAAATTATTAAACAAATTATTACGTTTTAAATAAACTTTAATTTAATATTAATTATAATTAATAAATTTTTTATAAAAATATGTAATAATTAACGTAAACAATAAATTATAATTAAATAAAAATCTTAATTAAATAATTTTAAAATAAAAAATATAAAAATATTTTATCTTAACTTAAATAAATTATATAAAATAAAAAATATAATTATTATTAAAAGAAATATTATTTTTTATAATATAAACTTATTTATTAACGCGGTATAATAAGTAAAAATAAATAAAATTTGTAAAAAAGTTATTATTAATTATATATATAAGTTATACCGAAAAAAAGTTTAAAATTAATATGTTAAAATATTTTTATAAATTAATTAAAATATAATATTTGCAAATAATAAATATACTTTAAGTAAATTTTTTAACAAGTTTAAAATGATCTTTAGTAAAATATAAAAAATATTATAAATATTAAAATATATTATATAAAACGTTTTTAATAAAATGTTAATTTAAAATTAAGTTATAAAATTTATATAAATTTATTAAATATTTTAAATAAATAATAAAATTTAATAAATGGAGTAGTTATATTATAATTTTAATTTTGATCTTTAATATATAATATTTAATTTATTTAATTACATTAATATTAATAAATATGTTAAGTATATTGTTAAATAAATTAGTAAATGAAAAAATAATATAATTAATAAAAGTAAAAAAGTTAAATTTAAAGTAACATTAAATAATTATATTAAAAATTTAAAAATTAGTAATAATGTAAAAAAACTATTAATAAATAATATATTTAAAATTAATAATAATAATAATAGCGGCAATATATTTTGGTAGTTTAAATGCGGAAATAACCGCAAAAATAATAATAAAAGTAAAGTTAAAGAAAATAATAATCGCAATAATAACAAGTATTAACGTAACGATTACCAAAATAATGGTTATTATTATGGTAAAAGATATTGTTGCGGTAAAAGCTGAGGTAATTATTATAATAACAGATATTACAATAATAATAATAATTATAAAAGTAACTTGTATAATTGCAATTAATAAAAAGGTTATTACGGTAAATTTAAAGGATTTGAAAAACGATAATATTGGCGTTATTGGGTTAAATAAAGAAATAAAAATAGTAAAAACTTTTTAAAGTATAAAATATTTTTTAAATAAAACGAGTTAAACCGTAAAATAAAAAAAAAAAAATTAAAGTAATAAGATTATTTTTTGTTAAAAAAATATAATAATAG